GCCCAGATTGCATCTCCCTGTTGTCATCCCCTTCCATCCCAAGCACCCCCACACTACTCACACACTCAAGCTTTGGTGCCCATGTCTCCTCATTGGGTAAATCCAAACCCATCTTGGCTAATTTTCCCAAGAAAAGTTCTCAAGACAGTATCAGATGCTGTCCGGACACCCCAGTTGAAGATGTGCTTGCCCTTAATCAAGCAGGAATAGAACCCCATTGGAAAACTTGGTGAGTAATAATTCCATCTCAAGTCCTGGGGTAGCAGCCTGCTTTCTCTTGGAAGCTTGCAGGGTTTTTTTAGTTGTTGATGGACCCTTATTTTAGTTATCTTTATATGGTGCTGAGGATCGAACCCAGGGTTCCACACCTGCTAGGCAAATGCTCCACCACTGAGCTACAACCCTTGCAGGTTTTTTTTTTTTTTTTTTTTTTTTTTTTTTTTTTTTTTAACATACAAAGGTACTTAGAATTGAGAGCGGAAATCATCGTGAATCATTGTTTTGACTTTTTGTCATCTCAAATTTAGACTTTTTTTTTTTTTACAATTTCCAAGATGCCTTTATTGCAAAGATTGAGCAAACATACTTTATTTTTTTTTTTAATGAGAGAGGAGAGAGAGAGAGAGAGAGAATTTTTAATATTTATTTTTTATTTTTATTTTTATTTATTTATTTTTTTTTTTAAAGAGAGAGTGAGAGAGGAGAGAGAGAGAGAATTTTTATTATTTATTTTTTAGTTCTCGGCGGACACAACATCTTTGTTGGTATGTGGTGCTGAGGATCGAACCCGGGCCGCACGCATGCCAGGCGAGCGCGCTACCGCCTGAGCCACATCCCCAGCCAGAGCAAACATACTTTAAATACTCAGTTTCAGGAATAACAAAAAAAAGGAGTGAGTTAAAACAATACCATTCTCTTTAAACTGTTTTAAAAATCTCAATTCCAGTATTCCAATGTTGGTGAGCTTGTAGGAAAAGAAACACTCTGACAATGAGAATATAATTTGGAGTAACTATTAGGGTGGGCAGTTTGTGATATATTAAAGGTCATTAAAATGTATATCTCTGGATCCAGCAGTTTCATTTTCAGGACTGTTTCCTAAGGAAAAAATAATTTTTGACAACTTTAAAATCCCAATTACAAATATACATAGTCACTAAAATAATACTGATGATTGTTTTGTGAATACAATAGATTGTAAAGTTTTTAAAAAATCCACAGAAAATATTACCAAAGAGTTTTGTTGTTGGTGGTGGTACTGGGGATTGAACCCAGGGCATTCTATCGTTGAGCCACATCCCCAGCTCTTTTTGTTTTGAGACAGAGTCTCACTAAGTTGCTGAGGCTGGTCTGGAACTTATGATCCTCCTGCCTTGGTCTCCTGAGTCACTGGGATTACAGGTGTGCACCACCGTACCCAGCTAAAGTGATCTTTCACAAGAGGCAAATATATAATACATTACTAGTACCATAGTGGTACTATGAGTGGTTTTAATATTTTTCCTAGATTATCTGAAATGAATATGTGTTACTTTTGTGTATTTATTTTTTGGTTGTCTAAGACCTATGAGACTGTGCTTTTGTTGTCTGGGGTCTCCACTTTTTCAGGTTCTGCAATAGGGCAGGAGATTCCTCTTTTCTCCACCCAAGCTCTTCGCACCTGAGTCAACCACTTCAGACAGCCCTCCCCCCCATCTGCAGGTTTTATTACTTTTGCCCCACCTTATCTGTCATCAAGAAAAAAGGCCAAGGTCCGTGATTGACTGACCCTGCGTTGACAATCTCTCTTCCCCAGGCTCTCGGTTCCTTTCTGTATGGGGCCAGCATTCCTTACCTGAAGGGACACCTGTCTGTACTTGTTTCCAGGGACAGAGGAGACACGTCCATCATGAAGAGTTTTTCCCTTTTAATTTTCTTTTTCTTGTGGTGGAAGTTTTCTTATCATTTTATGCATGTCTTAAAGCCTCCTCCCAAACACCACCATTCTTTAAGAGTTAATTTTCTTGGTGAAAAGTGTGCCATCTCCCTGTCCTGAAATTAGTTTTTCCTCTCCCTGAAGCTCACTGGTTGGAGAGACTCTGAAAGGCAGAAGGGAGGTGGTGACACCTAGGAGGCCCTTGAGAGAGGCAGGCAGTGCCTGATGAGGGAGGAATGGTAGCCCGGCAGACCTACCTGGGGTTTTCAAGGCTGCAGCTTCAAAAAGCCACTTTGCCTCTCCATTCCCGAGTTTCAGTATATTTGACAAGGGGATACAGGCAATAAAGGCACCTGCCTCTGTAGTCACTGTGTGGCCGTCAAGAGCTTATACACACAAAGTGCACAGAGGCTTGCCTGGTAGACAGGAAGTTCTTAAGAAGTATCAGCTATTGTCACCATTATTTTTATTTTTTTATTTTTTGAAAGCAGGAATTGAACCTAGGGGCGCTTAATCACTGAGCTGCATCCCCAGTCCTTTTTTTATATTTTATTTAGAGTCAGGGTCTCACTAAGTTCCTGAGGCTGGCTTTGAACTTGTGAAGCTCCTGCCTCAGCCTTCAGAGTTGCTGAGATTACAGGTATGCACCACTGTACCCAGCCAATTGCCATTAATTTWWAAAAAAATCTATTTATTTATTTTTTAATAGTTTTTAAAAAATATTTTTTAGGTGTCGATGGACACAACACAATGCCTTTTTTAATATGGTGCTGAGGATCAAACCCGGGTCCTGCTGGTGCTAGGCAAGCGCTCTACTGCTGAGCCACAATCCCAGTCCCACCCCGCCAACAATTTTTAAAAAAATTATAGATAGACACAATATCTTTATATATTTATTTATTTTTATGTGGTACTGAGGATYGAACCCAGGGCCTTACATGTGCTAGGCAAACGTTCTACCACTCAACCCCAGCCCCAGCCCCATCACCATTAGTTTTAAGTTGATGAAGTGCTTAGTGAACAGCAGATCTCTCCTTTCCACTCTCCTCTCAACCACCAGCAGTGATGTTGTGCAGAATCTAGATGCTGTTTTTCTTCCACATCCAGTTTGGTCAACAAATTTGTTGATTCTAGGGGCTGGGGTTGTGGCTCAGTGGTAGAGCACTTGCCTAGCACGTGCAAGGCCCTGAGTTCAATCCTTAGCACCCACATAAAAATAAACAAAGGTATAAAAAATTGTTGATTCTATCTATCGTCTTAATAAATATCTCTTCGACTACCAACTTCTCTCCATGCTTATTCCCCCAAAATCCATTCTTCACCACCAGAGGAGAGCACTTCCCTCTGGTGAAAAGTGTGCCATTTCCCTGTGCTGAAATTCGTTTTTCATCTCTCTGAAGCTCTCTGGTTGGAAGAGACTCTGACAGGCAAGGCTCCCCAAATTGCAGATCTTGCTAAGCTACTTTGTCACTGAAAACTGCTAAAATGCTGCCTCCTATTGCTCTTAGTGCAAACTCCCTCCCTGCCCGGTTGGTAAGGGCCCTCATCCTAGTCCCTGCCTCCCTCCTCAGCTTGT